GGTTGAATTCCTCTTTGTCAGACATTGATGGACGAACCATCATTATTAATATTAGACCTGCATGTTTGCCGACAATCGTCTGAAATCCGACAATCGCGACCTATTCCTATTCACTTGTTCTACAAGATCTAGATTTTTTAGATCACTAGATCTATAAAATATTTAATTCATATTCCAATTCTGTTGTATTATTGTATCAAACTCTTTATAGAGCAATGTAGGCCATAGTCTAGATTCTATTATTATATAGGCCTATATATGCTCCTTGTTGTTTTGGAGTCAGCTTTTTTTTTTTGTCTTTGTGACAGCCTTTTTACATGAGGGCCGTTGCAGGTTCTTTTTGGGGTAGGGTTAGGGTTAGGTCTCTTCTTTATTGTGTTTGTTCGGGTCATCGCTCGTTACTCGAAAGCCCTTCCTAAGTTCCTTTTATGACACCCTCAATTTAAAAGCTCTTATAAGCTATGAGGGGGGGGGTGTGCAAAATTTTCAGACAATCTGGTTGAGGCTCACATGCAGGTCTATAATATTATTACTGTGTGTGCACACAGTTCTGTTGTTACATTTCCCTGAAATTTGAACTAACAAAACGCACTTTGTGCATGTTTCCGTGTAACTTGGATATTGAGAAAGCATGCCTTGTGTTTCCCCTCCAGACTCACCCGTGACAAAGAAGGTGAAAGCTGCTCCAAAGAAATTTGAAAACCAGGAACAGTCTCAGAGAGGTAAGTCACTGGCTGCTGCGGTGAAGGGAAACGTCGTGGTGGTTGAAACTTGGCGCGGTTTTGTGTTCCTTTGTTGTTAACTTTTCTTGACTGGATCTTGAGCAGGTGCTCTGATGTTGTTAAGTTTGCCCGTTCTGTTCTGTCAAGCATCTATTGTAATTATCTCTCCTCTTCCTTTTTTTTATTTTTTTGTATGTTACTCTCAAGTAATACCTCTAATCTTCTACACTTATATGACCTATTTGTGTTAAAAGTGCCGTAAAACTCTCACGAAAAGTAAACTGTAACGAATCTGACTAATCAAGCCAGGCTGGGAGGGATACACCATTACAGCAGAAAGATTGTCTGGTTTGTTTTGTTTGGAAAAGTTGGGAGCTGTGTAACCGACATGTCACGCGACTCCCCCCAGACTCTGACTTCCTGTCCACGCTCAACTCGGCCAGTGTAAAGGACCTTCAGCAACTCCAGACGGTCGGCAAAAAGAGGGCGCAGCTCATCTATGACTGGAGACAGCTGCACGGAGCATTTGATTGTGTAAGTGTGTTTCTTAGTAAGTGTATGACAGTTGTATGGAGCCTTTGATTGTGTAAGTTTGTGGCTTAGTAAGTGTATTACAGTTGTATGGAGCCTTTGATTGTGTAAGTTTGTGGCTTAATAAGTGTATGACAGTTGTATGGAGCCTTTGATTGTGTAAGTGTGTGGCTTAGTAAGTGTATGACAGTTGTATGGAGCGTTTGATTGTGTAAGTTTGTGGCTTAATAAGTAAGTCTCTGACAGTTCATCATCATCATCATCAATGCCATTCACCCCTGGCAGGGTATAGGCCACATACAAGCTCCTTCCTTTTATCTCTGTCCTGGGCCATCCTTCCAAGCTCGTTCCAAGTGAGCTTCATCTCTCTCATGTCCCTTTCCACACATCTCTTCCATGTTTCCCGTGGCCTACCCCTGCCTTATGCTCTTTGTGGGTTCCACTGCAGCGACTGTCTTGTGATGTTTCCGCTGGGCTTTCTTAAGGTGTGTCCCATCCATCGCCACTTTCTAAGTCCTATTTCTTCTTCTATATATCCTTTTGTTTGACAGTTGCGTGGAGCGTTTGATTGTGTAAGTTTCTGGCTTAGGAAGTAACTGTTTGGGTTGGTTTAGTGCCACTATCAACACTTTTGGGTTGTTTGAAATGTGGGTCGTCCCAATTTAACATCTGTCTCTAATTGTACCTCTAGCAAACTGGGTTGAGGACTCGGAAAACTCCCCAAAATGACCTGAATGCAAGGACGCCCAGTCTGGGATTCAAACCACGGCTGTTTAGTCGTAGGCCCAGCTTGACACCAAACAAAAAAAAAATAGATCTATATAATTATTATATATGTATTTAATTTTAATTCACAAATTCTCAATCCTTCCAGCCCCAGCCATTTTTGTGCACTCCCTAACCCCAGTCCCAGCCAATACAGCAGTAGTTCAGAAAAAGAGACATGCATTCTAAAAAGGGATGTAAAATCTTTGTAATGAGGTTTAGATAATAAAATAACATATGTGAGACAGCGAGGTGGAATCAGGCTCTCGTCAATATAAGCAAAGTGAAAAAAATTGCATTTTTCCGCAGGTTTTTGAATTTGTATCAAATTTTTGTTTTTTGGCTCAACACCTTTCATGCATATTAAAGACTCATTTCTGTGCGGATTTTTCTGAAAAACGTTGATTAAAGGCACAAAAAATGTAAATTTTCAGTTGCCACGGACTCTTAAGCTAAGGAAATAACTAATCTTTGGCGGCCATTTTCTCACTAATTTTACCTCTGAAAACAAGTGGCCCCCACCTCCTTCTTTCGCAAATATCTCAACTTGTATTCAAGATAAATGGATATTTTTTTCATCCAAATAAAGACAAGTGAACAAGCTTTGAGATGATACCAATAACTCTACATGCCCAAAAATTGACGAGAGCCTGGTTTCACTACGCTGCCTCACATATAGCAATGTTTAAAGGTAAATGAACGAATATTATGAAAATTAAAGTTTAATTGGGTTCGCTTATTTCGGGGGATGCGCAAAATTGGTACCAACTGAGAATATATATACGCTCTTGGAATGGTGGGAGGTACACACGCTGCTGAAAATATACGCACATGGGGCTGGGAGGGTTATGGGAGCGTTCACCACCTAACAAGTACGTCAAAAAGTGACTCAAGAAGAAAACTGTGAAGTGATTGTCTTGGACAGGTGGCCATTACGGCAGCTGCGACTGTGTTGTGGTAGGAAGGAGGTGTCTGTTGATGTTGTGTATATATATATCAGTTGTCATTTACATTATTTTTTTTTTTTCTGCAGGTTGATGGGCTGAAAGAAATTCCTGGGTTCACTGACAAGTACATACAAAATTTGTTACGGGTAAGAGCAATATGTTTTTGTTATGATCAGAAGATTATTTGTGTTGAAAGGAACTGAGTTTTGCACTGTTTAATCTCATGTCACCCTTCTAAACTGGATGACAAGTCGTAAGTCTTTCTATCGAGGTATGAGCCACAGGTAAAAATTTACTTGTGAATTTTTAAAAAACTCCTTTTACTTTCTTTATTCTGCCCTTTTTTGTGACACAGCACAACACGGATAGCTGGAATTGGTCTGGACCGTCCTCGGTCGTTCGAGGGATATCTTACAAAGATAAAGAAGAAGTTAAAACGGAACCGCGGGCACAGTTGGATGGATGCGTGATTTCGTGTCTTCTGTGTTTGACCTGTCCCTGTTATACTGTATATGAGTGTATTTAGTAAATTTCCGTCGTCATTAACTTTGATCTCCTTCTGATATTTTAAATTTTTCTAGCTGTTTCCAGAGGTTTGACAGAATCTCAGTGGGTAGTTGGCGGTTGCTCTGGTGGGGTTTGCTCATTCTTTCCTTTCAAACGTTTGGCACTTTTAAGACCTAAGTGTATTGCAAGTTTTGTCAAACTCTTACTTAATAAACAAACTAAAACAGCAAAATCACATTGCTTGTTCTTTCAACTTCAACTTTTTCATAGTTTGGTAATGATTGATGTGAATGTTTGGCTCGGCGTACTTGAGGTTTTTCTAACCAAAGGGAATGTTTTGTCTTTTGTTGGTTTGGGTTGTTGTTGTTGTTGTTTTTTGTTGAGTC